CGCGTATCGCGGCTGTCGGCCGACAAACAGAAATTATCAAATTAATTCCGAACGAGAGCCGAGGGACCGGAAGCGGCATGCGAGAATTTTATCTGTCCCGAGTGAGTGCGCGACACGTCACGGGGACGGTAGCAGCGGACGGACGGACAGGTGCAACGCCGCCCTTTAATTATGGGCTCGACAATAAATTTTCGTCGACTGACTTTTCGTCCTCGCGCCTTTTACCCGACGCGCGCTCGCGATCGATGAATTAATCTCAGGGACGATTAACGGAGCTTTTTACCAAATTTATGCCTCTCCCACTTAATACTCGACAAGTTAGCCAATCGACTCATTGTCATCTTGGTGGATAGTGAAGTTTACTCTATAAATTAGTTTTGATATTGCATTTTTAAGAAATGACTGTTTGGCAAACAAAACAGATGAACGATTGACTAGAATTGTATATATATAATTGAATTGAAAGCATCTGAAATAGGCAATTATTTTTGGCACATACTAGATAGGTGCATTCATTTGATGAGTCCTGCCTATGTCTGAAATTTGTAAAACGACCTTTAAAAGAGTGAATTTCAAGACAAGCGCGACGAAAAGCGGTAAACCCGCCCTTACTTAAACAACAGTAGGGTATCGTTGTAATAATCATAAAGACCGGGATAACACGACGCTCCCCGAAAAAAAGAAAAAGTCCTCGGCCGAGCTTTGATTGTGCAAACGGCTGCTCGGGGCTGCAAGAGTAAAAGTCGGAAATGGCGCGGACAGGCGTGCTTAGCCGAGCGACGGCTAATGACGTCAGGGAGGAGGCTTAGGTAACCCATCAATCCGTGAAGCTCGCCGAAATTTCACAAGTCCCTTTTTTGCCCCGTCCACTGGAAGGAAACAGTCGTAAACAGCGCGGGAGAGCGAAAGAGAGAAAACCAGCTCCGTCGTAAATAACGAAGAAGAGAGGGAGGCCGCAGCGACGACCAGTATGCGGCCGTCATTTTCGAAAGTTTTACGACGGGGGTATCGCTTTCCTTGGCGCGAGGCCGCAGGGGCGCGTGCGGCGCCCGCGACCCTTACCTGCCGAAACTTGAAATACAACGGGCCAGATTTTTACGGCGGATAAGAGAGGCACCTTGCCTCATATTTTTATGGCACGATCGCCAGGCGTTTTTGACGCTAGGCCAAACAAAGACAATTAGCTCGCTTCGTTATGGCTGTCATTCATAATCCTATGCATGGCCGTTTGGCCTTGCGAGCGCGCTTGGGGTTTTGCCTCTGGCTTCCCGACAATGGCATTGTTCCGATTTGAGTCACTCAACTGACTGGTTGCTCGACGACTTGCAGCGGGAAGCTCGTTTCGCCAACGTGCCTTTTTGTCGATGTGGTGCGTTCGCTGCTCGCGCGATGCTCGCCGACGCCAAAGTTTGTTCGGCATCCCGGTCGGTCGCGGACCCCCATTGACTGGCTAAGGAGGGTGCGTACGCACGCACTGTATACGAGCGCGCGCCGCGTCCGAAATCGTTTGCACTTTGGAATGTGAGAGGTCCGCTTCTACGTCGAGCGAATACGAAAAAAGCCGAGTTTATCGCCTAATAATCCCGGAGGATGTGTTCCCATACGTTGCTCGCGCGCGCGCGCGCGCGCGCGTGGGAAACGCCATACGTGAGTCGCAACCGCGAAGCTCGTGTCATCCACGACATACTCTCTAACGTTCGTTACGAAATACCGATCGCGCGTCCACGATTCGCGCCTTCTCCAGGCCTCTACGTACTTCGGCAATTGATTTCACTTCGAGTTTGTGAGTTTGATAGATGAGTTTTTTCGGCAGGAGGCGTGCGTGTGTCTGTTTCTTTTCTTCTCACGCGCCCGCGCCGATCTGTCAAGAGAAGACGTCTTTGAGTAAATTTGCTCTTTCATTTTCCAATCCAACTTTCGGGCGCGTTGATAATTTTGCCTTTCATCACAAATCGCCGAAGTGCATGTAACGTTCAAGCGAAAAAAAGGCGCACGCGCACGCAGCTCGATGCTGGTACTCGAAAGCATGATTTGTCCAGACGCACATGTGTACAAAATCAACAATAACATGACGAAACAATTACTCGACAAGAAACGCACGCGTCTTTTGATTCTCTGGTCCGTTGGCCTCACTCGCCCGCGCTCTCTCTCTCTCTCGCTCTCGCTCCGAAGGCATTGTGCCTCGTAGCTGTATCACGGGGCCAACAAAGGCCCATATAATCCCGATGAACAGCCATGATAAAGTCGCGCTCGCTCGCGCGCCTATCAAGCCTGATTAATCGCGCCTGAAGCGAACGATGACGAACGACACGTCGACATCGAAGCGAACGAAGGCTCTCTCTCTCTCTCTCTCTCTCTCTCTCTCTAAGCTCGTCTCTCATATATCTCGCGCGTATGCGTTTGTACTTTAAACCACCGCCCACGTGCGCGCACTTTCCACGCCCGCGATTATGCAGTGCGCGCGCTCTGACCATTCAGACCCGCGAAATCGCGACACGGCGTCTGGTAGGCGCCGCTCAAATTTATCGATTCGCGGGCTGTGCCGTGCGTTGACGCACTGCCCGCGCGCTGCATTTGCCGAATAAACAATCGATTTTATTGGCGCCCGCGCTGCCCGCGGTCGACAGAAAGGAACGTACAATCGCGAAAATTGCTCGCAGCTGCGTTGCCCCGGCGGCCCGCTTAAACGCATCATCCGGCGAAAGCGAAGGTTCCACTCCGCGCTGACGCCTTTTATCATTTATGTCCGGGTGTAGTCCATTCCACGAAGCGCACGCGGTGTCCCATTAATTCGCGGCGACGCGAGTGCGGAGCTTTCCTTAAACGAGACAATACGCATTTCGTTGCGTAGGCCTTTACGCGCGATAAACTAATTGTCGCTGAAAAGAAGGAAAAATTCTACCGCGGGAGACAACGGCGGCTCGGAGGGTTCGTCTTTTCCTGAAAATAGCTCAGTCCACGGGCGTTTGGTCGTTTTTCTGTTTTTCGATGAAAAGCAGCGCACGTCTGCGCGAAACGCCGAACAACGGAAGGAGGAAAATAGAGGAGCGCGCGACAAGAGCCACCCACGTCATTACATTGTCTCTCCGCGGCGTAGAGCGCGCGCGAAAACGAAGCCGGCAGCGGCAATGTCTAAAAGTGAAAAGAGTGACGGAAATAACGTCGGCGGGTACTTTGCATACTCTGCCGGGCGAACGTATCGCGCGTGCGACACCAAGGCATCAACTGCGAGCCCGCATCCCCCTCTCGCGTTGCCGCGCCGCCGGATTCGCGCATACATACACGAGGCGCGCGCGCGTGTCGCCGAGGTAAAGTGCCGAATTAATAAACAGCCGAGTTGACTTTTCCGATTGCGGAATTTGCGCGCGCGCTCGCTGGCTGTCGCTCGGATTGGCATTGCTAATTTGAGAGCACGTCTAGAGAGGGCGTTTCGTGCCATCTCTCTCTTCTTCTTCTGCGCAAGAGATGTGACCACCGAAGCTGTATATGCTGCAACGTTTGCACTCACTTTCTTACCTTGTACAGTTGTAATGAAAAAAGTAGATCAAATAGCGGGAATATGGGAGTACTGATGATTTGACGATGAGTTAATTTTTATCCTCTTACAGTGCGTCTTTTATCCCTCACTTTATAACACACACGTGCAGTTTTCCGGGATATATATCGCCTCGCTCGACGTTCCCAGCTATTTAGCTGGCATATGAGATACTTGGGCAAATCATCTTATAAAAAATGATTACAGGAAATTGAAGCGTGCACCTGAAGAGCTTGGTGCGCGTGCATCATCAGCAGCAACGTATTTACAGGAGCGTTGTAAAAAATCAAAATCCTCATTTGAATACGTATCGAGACGCGAACCCGCCAAGCGCAACTCAATTATCACAACGAAGTGCCATAAAAAGTCTCTGTCGCGCATCATCAGCGTCAGAGGCGATTTTGTCATCGAAACCTGCTCCCCCGAAAAAGGAACGAGTTTTCGGGCTGCGCGCGCGTCGGAGGTGCGTGCCCCTGCCTTCTCGCTCTCGCTCCCTCAAATGCCTATAATTTCCGGAAGATGATTACAGGCAACCGACGAGCTCGAGCACGTGGCCGGTGTGCCCTGGCAAGAGCGGTGCGCGCGCGCGTGTTCGCAGATTGAAACGGAACAACGAGCGTCTATTACCGCGCTTCTGCGCGAGATGAGCCCAATTTCAAGAGCGAGGCTACGTGAAATTTCGTTTCGGGGAGTATTTTCGATAACGAGGTTAATGGGGTTTCGCACGGTACGGACGTCGCTTCCGGTAATGCGATCGCGAAATTTCGTCGAGAAACAAGAAAACAGCAGAGAAAACGAAGGGACAAAGAAGCGCGCTGCTGATCCAGGCTCGAGCAGCACCAAAGGCTACGTAATTGACTACGGGCCGGAGACCGGCCTATTCATATTCAAGGCGCAATGAAAAACGGCGCGCCCGATATAACGACATCTAAATCCCCCAAAGCGCGCGGCACGAGTAGGGTCATTCCTGTACGTGAGATCGGCTGCAGCGATTATGCGAGAAGGGAGCTTTATTGCCGGTTCCTTGCGCAAACAAACAATCGGCATCGCCTTCCCTCTGCTTCTCGTTATTACGGTCTTTCATTTCGACAGCTGTGCCCTTCTCAGTCTCTCGTTCTCCGGAGTGCCTGACATGTCTACCTATAATTTCTGGTGCTTGAGCTTGACCGCCTGTTATGCGACGGCGCTATTTTCTGCGGTAATTTAATGTACACCCTTGGCCAATGACTTGCACTTAAACTGTATACTTTTCTTCGAATTGATTAAATGGCCATACCCGTATTATCTTTTAAATTCGAAATCACATTACATTCATGATATCGGTAATGGCGTGTCAGTGCGTATAAATATAAGCTACCAACTGAAGATGCAAATGACGATGGAATTTTCATGAAATCTCTCGAGAATCGACATTTTCTTCTCGAAGTTAAAGCGCTCGTTTGGGAGACAAAGTGGTACCACTAACCTCGTGATGATGCGAATGCTGCATCATGAGAAAATCGGAAGTAGATGCAGTCTGCGGATGCTGCTGTTGTTCTCCAGCGCTACCAGCCACATCCTGCAGTAGACCCACGTGGTCGGCCCAACAGTCCTCCGACATATCCATGATGTTTCGAGAGAGAAGTCGTCAAGAGGCGAGCTGGCGAAAAATCACAATGCACTCTTACAAACTAGGTTGACAAGCTGGCCGAAAGCTCCGTCTCTTTGCTTGGCACACGGCAAAGTTCGCAATGAAGAGTTCACTTTGATCGCTGCCCCATGACACGAGCGAAAACTGCTTGGATGACGATCGCACTACTATGGCTCTGCAGTCATCGAGGGGTCACGAAAAACGAACGGGAAAACAAACAAACTCTCGTCTGGGCTTATAATTACGGAGCAATCGGATTTTCGAAGCCGCACACTGCGCGCGCCCCTTGTGTCTCTTTCTCTCTCTCGCTCTCTCTCTCTCTCTCTCCCTGTGTCTTCTTTTTTTTCGCGCGCGCGCTCGCGACCGAGGAAGCCCTCAATTCACTCTCTCTCTTTCTCTCCCCTCTTTTTCGTAGACAGTGGCGGCACACGTTTTCGCGTCCGGACACGATGGTCAGTCAGCGTGGAATGAAGTTGCGGGGCTCTCTCGCGCCAGCCGAGCGCGCTGCGGCTATGCGCCAGCGCAGCATCAACGAGAGAAAGAGAGAGAAAGAGAGAGAGAGAGAGAGAGAGAGAGAGAGAGAGAGAGAGAGAGAGAGAGAGCGAACGACGAGAGGGACGCACGCCTACGCCAGAGGAGAGGATTGGTAGTGGGGCTTGACTTGGAGGTGGCGCCAATCCCTCCCCCCGCTCTTCAGCTTTCCTGCCTTGCTTTCAGCTGTGCTGGCTTGGCCAGCGTGTACGGCTGTATGCGCGCTCTACACCTATGCGACAGGGACAGCGCATAGATCGACGCCGAATCGCGACCAACGAAAGAAAGACGACCGATTAATAGGACGAAGAATGTCGAAAGGCCGTTGTGTATGGCTTCAAACCAATCTCTCTGATCGCTGACGACGGATTGCGAATGGAACGCTTAATTGATGAATGGGCGCGCGAGTCAGAATCAAAACTTTTCGTATATCGTTTCTGTTTGACTATATTAATATCCGACAAAAGGGACAGAACCCTCGCCCAGGGACAAAGCTTCCGTACAGGATTTGGGTGGTGTTTTCCGATATCTAACAATGAAGCGCGCGTGGATATCAAAACTTCCTGGCCATGTAGCCAGAAATGCCCTCGACTGCTCTTAAACAGATGTTTAAGACGTGTTTTCGAAATTTACGATCATTGCTCGCGACTATTTCACGGCAACTGATTTTGCACATCACAGGTCGCAGCCTAGAGTTTTATTTCAAGTTCACTTTATGCACACCCTAATAGGAACTTATACTCTGATTGTTGGATTCTTCTTGTGAAGCAAACATTTTGAAAAAAATTAATAAATCAACTCCACTCATAGTAAATGCATTGATCTGGTCTCTGTGGAACAAATTGCTCGTATTTATATAAAATTAATTATATCGGTTTCTTTGTTCAATTTTCTTCACGTAAATTAACGTTTTTCTAAGCTAAATTTGGCAATTTATTTTCAAGCACATATGAAAGTGATGCGCTATAGTAGCCAATATTTATAAAGTAAATAAATATTTAGTTGACATTTATTATTTGACATGACTCTAGTAGTTGCCTCGAGTAACACATCCGTGATCAGTGTATTTTTAATTTGTTTTGTTGATGTCTTTATTAGCGCATTTCGCACGTTATACAAACTGTGAATTGATAGAGCCTGTCATTGAAATTTTAGCAATTATAACGAAGAAAATTGCAGTACTGTAAGATAGAAAATGTTTCTCTATTAGGACAATTTTAGGCTGTGATCAAGAATTCTTTAACAATTCGATATTAGACCTCGGTTAGTCCTCTTAAAAATAGTATTTACGATGTTAATTTTTGCCCTGTATATAATTTTTCTAATAATAATCATCTTCCAAACACATTTACAAATATTTTCCCAAAAAGGCTGCCACAATATTTTAACAATGTATTTGGCTCTGTGTGTATAGTTTCAATCCAAATTATTAAATTAATTACAAAATTTCTATGATAGAGCTTTTCTAGAAACCATCAAATTTCGACTCGAAATAGTTTAGAGAAAACGAATTGTCATAAATAAGTATGAATTCATCAATAACATTTCAATCTTTAGAATCTCACCAATTGAATTTCATTATTTATTCCGGGGCAGTAGTATCATAAATAATAATAGAATAAAGTAAATAACTTGGCGCAATAAACTAAAAATATCATCTACAGTATCACATAACATAAAGATTCTCCAATATGTACTGACGATACACGCGAATAAATGAATTTGACGCGTGCGCAAATGATATGGAGAGAAGTACTCGAGGAGCGCGGAGAGCGGGAGGACCAGTTTTTGCGCATATAATAAAACTTGTGCGTGCGGTCGCCGAGGGATTTCGCGATGCGTGACCAATGCGCGGCCGCTAAATTATGGGAGATTCCGTCGTTCTCTGTCCGGTCATGTAGCCGCGCGCGCGCTCGCGAAAAGGGAAGGAGGAAGCTGTGTGGAACCCAAGAAGAACGACTTCCTCTCCAGTGGTTCCCGAAGCCCTCTCTCTCTCTCTCATCTCATGAGAATCTGTCATAAGCAGGATCGAATGACGAGATAATATAACTTTTTAATATTTCTTTAGAATTTTGCACTTTTTGGGATAAGACTAAACTCGAATGAAGGTCGATTATAAAAGTTAATTTTATTTTTCAATCTGATTTTTATTTTTAAGGAAATCAAGTAATCAGTCAAACAGGGTATTATTCTTCAAATGAAAGATATAACATCGATTGTTTAAATTTGTATTTACTGTACAACTTTTTACAAATTTGAGTTTTTTTATTATTATTGGAGAATAATGGAGCTTATAAACGTATTCTAAATTAATAAAAATTGATATTGAAATAGCAAATATAAATTAATAATAATAGAAATAGAAAAGGAAAGTCGTTGTAACAATGTACGTTTAAATCGATCTCGTATGTACGTGATCTAGAGTTTACCTTTGCCATCGTGACTTAATTAAATACAGTATTCAACTGATCGCAATTAAAACTGATCAACGTTTAAAATAAATTAATTAATGGATTAAAAAATAAATTACTGTAGTAAACTGATTATTTTGGTATTACTTTAACTTTAAGTTATTGTTGTAGGAGGTCACTTTAATTCAGAGATACGAAACAAACTTCGATCAAAATAGGTACCAAATTGTAAAGTCAGTATTTCACTAAATGAGCTAATAACTCAATAACCCGTGTAACTACGGCCAACTAAAGTGAAATGTAGTAACTTGTTAAAATTTCCATACCAGATATAATTTATTTTCGTAAAAAGAAATTAAAGCTTGCACTATATCGCGTGAATTTTCCATGCCGATCTCATCTAAACCACTGAATATATACTTTCTCGCAAACGTGGCGCACTAGAAACGAAGCAAACCCAGCCGATAGTAATCGATCAGACAATAAATCGAAAGGACGACGACAAATCGGTGAAAGCGTACTAATTGCACCCACTGTAGATATTCGCTTTCTTACTCCTCTCTCACTCCCAAAGTTTTGCAAAAAAAATCCTTCTTTTTTCTTTTTTTAAATGGGTTCGAGCTGCTTACCGAGAGGAACAAATAATCAGAAACTGCGATCTCGTAAAGACAGAGAGAGCCCGCACGATTGTGTGTAAATTCGTGTCCGTTTGGCTCTCTCTCTCTCTCTCTCTCTCTCTCTCTTCTCTCTCTTTCTCTTCTCTATCTTTCTCTCTCTCTCTCTCTCTCTCTCTGTCGATATTGCGACGAACGCGTGGAAAACGTTACTCGCTGCTCTACACGATGTGATGCAGTATTTGTTTCATGTCTGTGGGAATTGAGGCGCAGCTTCTTGGTTTGCGCTCTGATTTGCTTATTTTAACTGTAGACTTCTATAGGAAAGTGCGATTGACTTCTATTAGGCGAGTGATTTGCCTTTTCAAAGTATAGCTTTTTTTCTCGCGAAAATTTTGATTATTTCATTCCCCGATATACCTGATTATTGTGTATTATTCGTAATATATTATGTAGATTGTACATGGTTCACTATTAATTTATTTCCATAAAGAAATAATTATTCAATCGAATATATACGTCATAACAATACTGTTATGGATATTTGAAGTGACTTCATTTCTGTAACTTCTTTATACAATCGGTTATTATAACATTGGAATCATGTCTATTCAACTTTTCCAGGTTATAGAGTCTATTAGCCAAAAAATATCAAATTTTTGAAATTCTAAGATAGACGGTTCTAATCAGGGTCATTTTTGTGATAAATCCTTTCTTTTGATATATTCTATCAAATTGTACTATAAAAAGATGATAATAGATATAAGGTATAAGTGGATCTAATATGGAACAGCCAAGCTTACGAGTATACTGCTGTAACTTTTGATTATGAATGCATTGAGTTTTGTATAAGAGCTCATTCGGTAACTTACAAAATAGATTTGAAATAAAACATCGTGCGAGAATATTGTGTAATAATATATAGTTTAAAATAGTACCGACCAAAACAATCCTCCTTTTTTCAGGAATACGAAGGAAGTTAATCTAATACTGAACTATTCGTTAAAGGATATTTTTACCTATCGAAATTATGCATAATATACATATAAATAAGTCATGAATACAATTTATAAAAATGAATATTTTAAATAACTGAACATTGATATTATTTACCATCTTATTACTGTTATTGAGCGGGGAGATAGTCTTATTATATATCCCATTACTATTAAAACTATGGAAGTTATCAAGATTCTTAGATATCGCAGATCAGTGACATCGAAAACTGATTAGCACATGTAAAGTCACTGCTTATGAAAGGGAAACGACAGTCGATATTGGAAAATGCATTTAAAGTTAAATAAATGAAAACCATCTGAGTAAACCAAATCGATTTTCCTGTTTTAAATTACCTGGATTCAGTGGATTTGGATCACATGGCTACTGTAGTTATCGTAGAATTGAAAAGTCGTTTGATATATTGTATAGTTGAAAAACTTAACGGTAATTTCAATTATGTTTCTAAGGATATTCCTTACAGAGTTACTAAAAGATGAAGATCAAGATTCGCTGTAAGTTTTTTCGCTATACGCGGCATTATGTCAAATTAAAAAATATTTTTTGCTACTTTTGTTCCTATCATAATACTTTTCCGGCACTAAAACAATTCTATTACATCAATATTTATTTCGTTAACAATCATAAATAATTTTTATATTGTGTGTATTTATATATATATAATATTTTCTTGCAAAAAAAACATTCCTAAAATGATACTAAAATTCTTCTTTACTGTCTTATAAAAATTGTCCTAATAAATATATCATCATGAAATTATAATGATTTCAAAGTATAAACTTTGATTTTCTTTATTGGAAAGTCCAAAATCTTGATTGTACGTCCTAGAAAGTCCCTATAATGGTAACAGTTTATTTAATAAAAAACCTTATTGTGCAGTGCTGCCATTTTTCGAAAAAAATAATTTTTTACATTTTTTTAGCTACTTCAAATGAATATTTCTTTTTAAATAATTTTTGCGCATAGCCTCATTGGCTCTACCAAGGTGTTAAAGCTAAGGGGATTGAGCCGTACAATAAAGAGTTTTGATCTTACAACGAGGAAAATCGGTAGTTACACTGAATACTTTAATGCTGAAAAGTTATATGATAATATTTTTATTGTGATGATTTTAACAGAGCAATAAAAGAGATTTTTTATTTCTTGCGTCAAATACTGGTTGGTCTTCTTGAGGGTGACATGTGCTTCGGACCAAGAGTAGATCGTTATTCAAGAAATTTTTTCATGTCTACTTTTTGATACTCAATAATTCTTCTGCTATATCTTCTTAGATTGAATTTGTATTCAGGCTCAATAGCTTTGTTGATTAGGATAAATTTTTGTATATCTTTACATTGAGTAATTAGCCAAATTATCTTTACAGTAATAACCTGAGAAGAAAACTTCAAACTATGATTTGAATTTCGGGAGTATGTTAAATTTTTGGATGTAAAAAAATCTCGGCTGATTACAATTGCAGTACAATGAAGATCTCACTGTATATGAATCATTAATATTTTAATAATGTGTTAAAATAAATGTTAAAAATAATTAGAATATTAAAATAATTAATTTATAAATATTTTCAAATAAGAGTCGATTATCTGAATGATTTACCATATCTGTTCAAATTGAATGTGCTCTAAAAATAGAATTCCAGTTGCCAAATAAAGTACGCGTGATTTTAAAAGGATATGAAATTATAAAAGAAGATGTAGACAAATTTTGTTACTCAATAAAATGACCATCGAATAACATGTTAATCTAAACAGTTTGAGTATTAACGAAGATTTAAGGCTGATATATACTGCAAATGTTAATTACAAGTTTATGTATACTAAAACTGAATTATTTGAATTGTAAATTATGATTCTGATGGAAAATAAAATTTAATTTGATTCGCAGAATTATTGGATAATGAAAATAGTTCGCTAACGGAGCTTTATTTGAATGCCACGTTTTCAACCATCTTTGAAACACAAATCCTGAAAAACATCGAAAGCGTTCACATAACAATCAAAACTTGGCGCATTTTTATTCCCAATTTTCCGATATCGAAAAATAAGCTATAAACAACAGTGCATCTTTTATCCATCATCATTCAAGGACAAATAAGTCTGCCTGTCACGTCTCATCGAACACATATCAACTGGAAAGGCGACACGACGCGAAGGCACTTAAAATATTTCAACTTCTCACGAACGCTTGACCGTATAGTTGTGTCGTGATCCCGCATGAAAAGGCGCGTATCCCATCAGTGTGTACGTGTATCGGTGCTTTGGATCTCCCAAAAATGTATATGCGACTACCGTTTCCACCGGCTGACAGTCAAGCACAGGTGTGCACCCGTATTGCCTCAAGCGACATCTCTCTCTTTCTCGCACGTGTATGGCGCCTTCGATGCTCTCTTTTTTCTCCCCCTTTACTCAATGCCTAATGAGATGCTTTATTTGGGCATGGTGGTACTGCTATTACGTACGTGTAGGCGACTTCGTATCGCACAAACAAATTCGGGCAAAGCAAAGAGTGAAAAAAAAAAGACACGTGCTTAATTAAGCGTATGCATATACGTAACTTTTCCGAGTTTGATAAAAACTGGACTCGGTTCTAATTACTCAATTAAGCGAGAACGAGTCCCCGGACGTTTCCGAATGCCCAACGGATCCCTCCAATTCAATTTCCGCGAGCGTTTCGCTTCACTCTGTCAATTACTCGCCGCTGCTATTATATACGCGCACACATGCGGGAGATAGATGTGTGCGTATGCAACGTGCTCGTATTAACCAGGAACGCGCGGAAGACTGCGAAGCATACATGGGTTTTAGCTTCAAACGCCGCCGATGGAAAAATTCTGCGCTGCTACGTGGGTGACCAGCCGAGGAAATGATCTGTCGATGGAATATCAAGCTCCGACCGATAGTTGACAGAGAGCGCACCTTTTTTTTTTCTTTTTTGAGTGCGTTGGGAACGCACGGTGAGGTTGACTGACAGTAGATATCTGCAGATGAGTTATGTGAACGTCGATTCTTAGCTTGCTTCGTCGGCTGCAGAAAAGCATATAATTACTCCTACAGTGTTTTTACATCGTTTTTCAAAGGAAAAACGCAAATGCTCTTTCTTTGCGACAAAAGATATTATTCATAATCTCCACAATGCATATTGTACACGTGTCGAAATAAAAACCTGTCAATACATTAATTTTCTGTCTATTTGTTGTAGAAATCATTGGAAAATAACAGCGTGGTACTAAGTTTAGTTACTGTAAAGTACAATAAAGATTCACTAGGTGTCGTGTTATGAGAATTTGAGAAACGATCACATTTGAAAGAACTAGCTGAATTGCCTTGTTCTTCATTAAGTTAATTGCACACTGCCTGTTTCTCTGTAATAGTCAGTGCCTACTAGCAAACTCACCAATGAAAAAATATAATACGAACGTAAAAATCCATGAAATTATATTCGTGCTTTGCTTCTATGTGTAGTATATAGGAAACGCAAGCACGGCAACCTTTCGTAATTAAAGTCTATTTTTTCTTTTATCAGCGATATTCTAATGAAACGAGCGCTTTATAATTATTGGAACCTTGCGCGCCAGTGGTTTCTTTCATGATTGTGCATATTTTTGCATGATTCTTTTTTCAGCCGCTCGCAAGTTAATAGGCTCGACGCATACTATTACCGTAAGTTAGGATGTAATGTTCAGCAATCATTATTTTAATGAGCATTTGATCTGCTGATGAATATCTTGGTATTCTGCGGGTAACTTCAAAAAGAATGATTTGGCGGTGGGCAGAAAATTATTTCGACTTCAAATGCCTACTTCAAGGGAAGTATTATTCAAAATATACAGTACGAGTATCCTTTTGGCATTGATTCTACAGTGCGATAGAAACTAATGAGCAATCGAATGCTTCGTACTCGGCAAATTGTACGAATGTACGAAGTCAGACATAAAAACACGCACGAATAAACCAGCAGTTTCGTTCGCTCGTCTGTCAATCGAGCAGTGACACTAATGCGCGGAATTCGATCTGCTTTGTACAACTGGCCAACTCGCGAACGCCAGAGCGAGCCGTGAAAATATCGCGCGCTCATAAATAAAGCCCAAATTTATCGCTGCAGCGTCGGTAATTACGCGTCGAATAAATATAGAGTGCGCGCTCGGGCGGTTCAGTTTGCGCCCGTGTCGGCGTGGCGGGGCTTCTGCATAAACGAGGCAGATGAAAATACGGGCGTGCATGCCGTTAATTTGCCCGACGAGAGTTCTCCTGTGACACTTTATACGCGTTTCCCCGAGAGCGCAGCGTGTACGCCTCTACCTTTCGTCTCGTGCACCCACCTCCCCCCACCCCGCACCATTTTTTTATCTTTCGTTTAAGCTATCAATTTCCACGCGCGCGGCGCTGTCGCGCATTCGATGCGCGTGCGCCCTGCTGGAATATAAGCGACCGACGTCGTTATGACGACAATTACAGTAATAAGGCATAATCGTGCGTGCGAGTGCTTCATGAGATCTCGTTTGCCAGATACTGTTTTCACGAAAATGATCACGCCTAAGTGAAAACGACTGCGCTATACACTTTGTAAATGTAAGCGCCTGGGAGATCGATGGAAATTTAAGAGCTCGTTCATTTATTATGCTAAGTGGTCTGCCGTATCCTTTTGCAACCTTGTACATTTTTAATGAATTTTATTTGGAACTGTATCAGCTATGCTTGATAAATTGGCGTCGATAAAAAACCAAATGTTTGATGATAATCGAATTTAATGAATAAAAATTATAGCACGATTTCCTTTGGAGAGCTTTATAAATTTTAGAATGTAGACTAGCTAAACTGCAGTCATGTTAACAGTTTTTAGAGACAAAATGCTCGATTCGATTTCACTATTAGCAAGCGGTTATACAAATGGCAGAACGGCGATCTGAGTGGTCATCAACGGACGCGGACGACAAGGCGCGCGCGCGCACTAACTATTTCGAAAATTTATTAATGGCACTTTGCTGCGACAAGTGTAAGATCGCGCGCGAATGTATTCTCTGTGCTCGTCTGCTCTTCTTCGTTGATTTGCTGTAACGAGAGCGTACCACGTTTGATTTTGAGGTTTTACACGATAACTTACATATCCTGTTTTCTTTAACTAATAATTTGTTTAATTATTTGTATTTTATAACAATAATTTTATTCATCCAACGTTAGTCCGTATCGATGCATAATTAAATACGAAGATTACATCGGATTTTCCAAATCTGATTGCAATTATTTATCATTTACAAAATTGAACAGTTAACAATATCTTGCCATTCAATATGCCCATTTGAACAATTTCGTCGGGCTAACTATAATTTTTCTCTTCGATGTAAATTAACTTTTGTAACAATAAAAACAGTTATTCTGCTATTGGTAAAAAAAAACTCTTATAACACGACAACTATTCGAGTTTGATTGACGCGTCATCGTATATAATTAAACGGTAACTCCGATGAAGAAACATTCGATTAGACATTTATTGAATAAACGCGATACATTCGCAAGTTGAAAAGCAGAACGTCGAAGTAGCGCGAAAAGGAAAACATACGGCTTAGCGATGTATCTATGGAAACCTGGAAACGCGTTACTCACAGTCACAACAGTGTGTGCGTGTAGATATTGGAGAACGCGTCTACTGCTGCGGTTGGGTGAGTCGTGCGTGCCGCTGAGGTTAGTCAGGCCAGAAATGGCGTCGCCTAGTGAATTGTCCCTGGAGGAGATTCGCAAGTATCTTCTTGATAATGGAGGTTCAGCATGTAATCAGGATCTCGTCAGGCATTTCAAAAAGTTCCTCACTGATCCCGAAACACGAGGTTCGTTTAATCTCAGCTAAATTCGCTTTGAAAAGCGAACAAATTCTTTCAGTCTGCTAGTGTTGTTTTTCCGTTATCATTTGAATTTCACGTATAATTACGCGTGGAGAGAGCAAGTGATAGCAAATTATTTTTATTTTTTGGCTTTTAGTGGAGGCACGTAACAGATTCAAGGAGTATATCAACACATTGGCGACAATTAAAACCGAGGAGGTACGTTCAAAGCTGAGTTTTGTTTTCGTTCGTGTACAATGCAATAACGTGTTACCTGCTACCAAACGACTATCAATGAATTGTTTTCCGTGTTCGCAATATAATTTGTGCATGAAAATTAATAAATTTTAATGTAAAAATTTGTTGAAATACTGTTCACTTATGGTGTTGTATTATGACAGTTCAGTTTAGAGGTTATAACTACAGGCAAAAATATAAATTAGTGCACAAGTGAATTTTAAATTAATTTTTGCTCTAATTCATTTTGTATTTTTTTAATAAATGAAGAATAAATTTGTTGATAATTGTTATTTCAAATTTGTTTAAATTTTTTATATGCAATCAAGAATTTTCTCTTATTGATAGTTTTATTTTCATATAGTAGCAGTTTTGGTGGCTAATCAAATTTTTAAAACTAGATACAGATGTGAAGAACATAAATAAAATTAAAACATAATTTATCATAAAGATAAGCAATAAAGCAATAATATGCTTCTGTATTTCAGGGAGAAAAGTATTTAGTTTTGAAAAGAAAATTTCGACAGCCAACTTTGGATCTGTCATCACCAACGTTAAACTTTTCTTCTGGTTTCCCAAGCTCACCTATATCCACTCCAGATTTGGCAACTCCTACATCTCCTTTACGGGACCTACCACCTTACAGACAACCACCAATAGCACCACTGAGTCCTGTTCAAAATGTTACCTCACCAGTTCATCGATATACAGTACAAGATCCTCCTATTGGACTTCCATATGTACAGCCAGTTGGTTTGCCTAATGTGCAACGAGTTGGTTTGCCAAATGTTCAATCTGTTGGCTTGCCAAGTGTTCAGCAAGTGGGTGCACCAAATGTACAATCAATGGGAATACCAATGGTTGAACCAATTTCTGAAGATGTTGGGCCTAGTAATGTGCCACAGTATACTGGAACAGAAAACAAGAGAAGTAGTATAGTCTCATCACCCCCTGTACCTCCAAGAAAGAAAAGTCATGAAAAGATTAAGTCGTCTAACAAGGAAAATCAGTTTGTTGATAAAGCCAAGAATGAATCTGACTTGATTAAGGTGAGTGGTTTTTTTGAAAATCATTTTCAAGGGAAATTTGTAGTGGGTATTTGTTAAAGTTATTCGTTTATATATATAAATTGAATTAATTTACTTAAGTATAAAATAATCGCTTATTTAATGGTTACACCCAGTGTCAAATTCATAACATAATGATTGCTGTTTTATAATAGAAGACTATGTATTCAACGATACATCAATGTAAACACTACATTGGATACATATGATTCCATTTATAAAATAATAAAATAGATCTCTAGAGATACCTTGAAGTAGTAAACTGTACAAATAAAGATTTTAAAATAAACATGGTAATCTGCTACTTAGCGCTTGCATTCATTATTCAGTTATTAAGTAGTTGTAGATGTATTTAACACGTTGCATAAATTCAATATTTACAAACGTATTGCACCATTGGGCTATTGCACAAATGTAGTGTGTTGACAACTGATTATTTGTAGATAATAAGTTGCTCTTACAAACATCGCTTTGAGACAGAAATCGAACGTAGCGGGTCATTGACGATGCAATGAAAAATTCAAATTAGTGCTAGTTAATCTTTTGCACAAATATTATACGAAAAGATAACTGCTGTTGAAATAATAGCGGTATCAGGTGAAAAATTAAATGATACTCTACTCACAACTGGCTAGTCATTTCGTTGATGCAGGTGTTGAGTTTAAACGTACACAAAATCTACTTGCGCTCTTGGCTGTACAGGCATTTGAAAGTCAGAGTTGCACTTGCTTAGAAGTGCGTTCTGCTCTACATTCGCCTGTACAAGTGACTTCGATTTCTGCAGAAGCGAGAGCCATCACGCAAAAGTAAGGCATTTTGCCAATGTCATCGCCGCTTATCTTTCCGATCGACGATAACGAATGCTCTTATCGTCCTATTATCGTAGCTATATTAGCCTCAGTATATGATTGAGTGTCGCGCGACACAAAGGTGTATTGCATCTCTAACATTCAAGCTCGTTTCCCGCTGTGTGTCCATCTGTCCGTCGGTCTCTCGCTCTACCGCTCTCTTCTCTCTGTGGTGTCAGTATTTTGGGTACTGTTGTTTTTGTTGTTATTGTTGTGTGCGACAAGTGAGACAAGGACGAACGACCGAAAATGTTGCCAATTCAGGAGGACGAGGTTGCTGCAGCGCAGCAGCAGCCACCGGCTTCGCCTCAGCTGACACCGGCCGAGCAGCTGAGCGTACGTGAGAGAATGCAGCGTTTCAACCGTATGGCCAGCGAAACCGATCTGCCGAACCGACCAAATACTGTCTCCACGCCACCCGTGAAAAAACGCTCCGACAAGGTAAATCATCATCACAATCATCGCTTATTTTAGAATTGCCCCTAGCCGCCGACTCCCATCGTGATATGTATCCTTTGCACGATTGGTAATATTTATAAATGTGTCTGCGCGGATATAGACCACTATAGTTTCGCTTTACACTGTTGACGTATTAGTGCGAAAACATCATGTACAAATTAATGCTTAAATTTTATGTAGATGACAATAGTTTAGCTATGCAAAAGTCGTGCATTTCACCTGTGTACGTAGGATGAAAATGTTTTAGGAAAGCTTGCGGCAATCTTCATTATCAAACGCGTCAAGTGCGATACTTGAAATTTATAACTTCGCGATAAGCACGTGTACAAAGTTGCTGGATAGAGAGTTTGTTATTATATTCGCAGTATTAATGGATAAAGTAGTTGTTGAACCAGAACGATAAGCAGATACGGAAATGTCATTGTTTCCGTCAACATACGCGTAAAACGATAAATTTATTAAATTATTAGTTCTACGATTGAGTAGGAGATCCTTGGTTTTGCACAAGACGAAGAATCAGTCGGCAGACGCGTGGTGCGTGTATGCGCATTACTTTGAACAGCCTTTCCGCGAAAACAGTTCGCCAAATCTCTCGTAGAAATTGCCGTCTCTGCCGCCAACGCGCGCGCCGGATATCGCGTCGTCTATCCTCCTCTAGATGCAGCGAGTCAAGTCGGCCCTTCAACGCGCATACCAAATCCGCGCGCGCCGCCAATAACGTATTTATCGCATTTGAATATATTATACACACATCGCGAATCTCACCCTTCGCCTGGAGTGTCGTATCGCATTCAAGCATCGCGGGATGATGTCGCCAGCGATGTCGTCGTAAATCATAATTAGCTGAGCGTGAAATCGCACGAGGGGCGCGAGCAAGAGATATTCCTTTTCTTATTTGATCGCCTCGGCGCTGATGATGTTAATTTGCCCTGATGTTCGCTCGCGGTGCCTTGTTTTGATAGTTACTTTGGATTTTTGTCGCCTGCTATAGGTGTGACGTGCGACATTTAATGAGCCGATTTTTCATGCTGCAGTTGCCGCACGGCTTATACAGAATTCCGCGCGTGCGCGTATGTTTTTTTCGTTTCGAGGTCGCTGAAATATCGATGGTTTTTCGATTACAATTTATTATTTGTAGAAAACACGACGCGAATATGGCCTCAAGATGACGGGAAAACGTTAAGTATCTGCAAAATTAGCATCGAGCTTTTTCCATATCTGTGGCTCGACGAGCCAAGAAAAACTCGCGGAGCAAGCCTAGCCGCATGCCATTAAGAAACCATAACCGCGCAGAGAATTACAGTTGATGCTCCTCATTGAATCGTCGGCACGTGAAAGGGTACCGGCTTTGGGGTCGCACCGGAAACGTCGTCGTTTTTTAAGCGGCGCTTCAACGACAAGCTTACGTCGTCTTCCGGACGGCCTCGGCCGCTTGATTTCTTGCCAGTTGCCACCACCACGCCGATTATCATTCCAACGCATTAGCGTCATATACCTCATCGTGTGCATGAACAATGAGAGTCGCGTGCCGACTAAGCGCGTTATCGTACTGATGCTAATATTATGCGCCTTTCTTATCGGAATGTATGCGAGGCTTTCGTTTGCGTTGCTGAATGGGTTGTGTATTCAGGAAAAACGATGATTTGGAGTTGCAAAATTACGTTTTATCATTCTATACCGAACAAATCGAGCAACAGAACCTTGGTTGATCAATGAAAAATGCCTATCATAAGTGCGCCCTTCACTTCGTCAATCATAATAATCTCAACATACGTTATTCGTGTTTTTCCTCGAACAATAGTAAATATTGCTGATACTTTGTTAATGATTTCGGAAAAAATATATCGTTTTCATTGTCAATTATTGAATTTATAGTAGCATTTTTAAATTAAAAATGCAGACGCGTTAATCTTCAGCAAAAAACATTAGGAAACAAATGATTTTCTTTTTTGGCAAAAATTATAGCTTCAGCCTCTCCCGGCACACAGTTGAACTCTAACAATCTCGAATTAGCATAAAAGGTTTTCCTTGCACTTACTACTCGCTCCAAACGACTCGCAGAAAACTCTTTTTCCTTGACAAGCACAAAACTTTGTTATTCTTTATCGCTTACAAAGCAATCTTGCAGCTGGCTTAAGCGCTGCGCGTCTAGAATTCATTGCCGAGGTGGGTAAGTAAAAACCGCGCGAGCTCTCTGTTGCACAACTTGCCTTCATTATTCGACACACGCATACACATCTCGCTGGATATCCCCGCGCGTTAATTAGGATCACGCATGTTTCGCAGCCCCCGAGGCGAAAATTTCAAACACGAAAAAGAAAGGGAGAGAGATGTTCGCGCGCTACAATGCTGCCCGCAAATATCGTGTGGGAAATTACCACGATGTAAACGGCAAAAGTACCCTCGAATGCAAACAATAACGTCTGCTTGCGATTATTACTGTACGATCGATTCATTATGCAGGCCGTTTGTCATTGAAAGCAGTCGCGTTGCCACGCGCGTCGATCTTATCCGCAGAGTCGAGTCAAGAAAGGAAATCTCATATATACGAAAAGGATAGAATAATTTCTTGTCGAAGGCGAATCCAAATAGGAGCATGTCGCCGTTGGAATTTCAGCTTCAGAGGGGGAATTTCCTCCTGCATACATTATAGAAACTTGAGCTTGGCGGGTAACTTTGCTCGCGGCGCACTCGCGAATATCAGTCAAAGAAGAGCTAGCAAAGTAATCTTACAGAATGTATATGCAAAGGAGGCTGCTGCTTCTGCTGCTGCTGCTGCTGCTGCTGCTGCTGCTGCTGCTGCTGCTGCTTTGCCTATGGGAAGGAAGACGCGCAGCTTGCAAGCCCGCACATCCCTCTCGTCGCGACAAGATCCGAACATGCCTTGTCAGAAGAGCAAGTTCATCTCGTAGCCGGTGACGACGACGACGACGACGAAGAAACTGCCGAAGATCGACGTTATAGGAAATTGCGCGACAACTGATATTGGCTCTCTTTCTTCTCTCTACTTTGAATATATGCTTCGAGAACACGATGTTGGAAATGCAAAGTAACACGCACAATTACTCGCAGAAGCCTATTACCCAAGTTTCAGTTTGACAAAACTTGTAAAACGCTTGTCTACGCCGTGAATCGAGTAAACACGCAAGGCAACACGTGTAACGCGCTCTGAAAAGTTTTTCCACGATCTCCTCCGACTCCTGAACGAAAAAAAAAAAAAACGAGAACTTGTGCAACTCGCGTGAGCAATTACTTGATTGGGGCAATTAACCGTTGCCGCGCGTGAAAACGCATTGCCGCTAATCGCCGAAGTGAATCTCTGCGATTGTTTAACGTAGAGGAGAGCGAACAGAGAGATATATAGAAGTTGGGCTAAAAGCGATACGAGGAACCATCGCACGCGAGCGACAGTTTGCCGCCGCTTTTATCTCTCAATTCTAATCTGCTTTCGCTCGGCGACGCTCCCATACGCGGCCGATTTCTATTTTTCATCGCGCGACGGGTAGCAGAAGCAGCAGCAGCAGCAGCAGCCACATTGTTTATATAGAAGAAATATTTCGGCCATTAATCAGCGTGGCGCATGCCTGCGCGAGCGCAGCGCACGGAGCACCTGCAGCCCAGCCTCCTCTTCGTCTCTCTGTGTGTTATTAGTGCGACGCGACGCTCTCGCCCCCTCTTGCTCCTCTTCTTTTCCTTTCTTCTTCCTCTGCATCGTCGTTATCTTTGTCGTTTGTTAAGGACCATACCTAACTGTCGCCTGCCGAGACAGACGAAGGATCGTGTCGTTTGTGTATTCCGGTTATTATTATATATGAACACACACATATATAGCAATGAAACAATCGTTGGTTTCCGGACTAATTTCTCGCCTTATCATCGATGCGTCGATATTTCAATTAGAGTTGTAGATAAATCGATTCTTTTTATCGAGGGTAGGGCGGAGTTAAAAAGAACCTTTAAACGTCTATACAATAATTGGTTCGTTTGGCAGCAATTGCGCGCATACTTTGGGATAAGGGATTCTTGCATTATTTTTTTACTTCTTCGCCAGTTTTTCAATCACTGGCACAAAATTACACTTATTCAATATTTAAAAATTGAATACTGCGGCAATTCGAGATTTGTTCAGATGAATCTCGACAGGTCTCCCAATGCTACATGTTCACTGCAAAAGAAACTGGTTCAATTTACTGGAACCATTAATCGATTTTTCGTAAATTAGTAGCGTACTGAAAATATATAATTTTTTAACTTGGTTTAATTGGTGTAATAATCAGTCATTCCAAAAAAATTCTAGAATTAGCACCATGTATATTTTTTAAATTGCATTTAGCGTGCAGGAAATCGACGAGTATTTTTTATAGAATTCAGCCAGCGATGATCAACGAATACGTACTTTCCCAAAACCGCAATTGCATGATAACAATTAAAAATGAGAAATAAAATTAGCGAGACCAGAGATAAATTTGAAAGGCAAATGTATATAAAAAGGCAAAGAACAGTAGTGCAACTAAACGCTTTTCTCCCCAAGACACAGGTGGCAGATAAATAGATAGCCTATATTAACCGCGGCGCAAACTAAATACACATAAGTAAAGGAGGCCGTATATGTACTTGGCAGTAACGCGTCTTACTCTTATTTTAATTAGGATACTTTGTTCGCGCAGGATGTCTAGCCGTGGAAGATAAGATTTATCTGGTGCCGCTTTTACATAGAGAGGCGCCGCGGCTCGTCGGTAGCGAACCATGCACCCGTTCGTGTGTGTGGGAAGCAGCATAAAAACGTTGTACGTGTGTGTCGGGAGAATGGCTTTTCCACTGCTGCATACTCACTATGATAAATTTCTGCAGCCCGCTGTAATTAAATAATGCACGCGTTTGCGTTTTGTTCGCCAAGTGCCGGCGATCCTTTGTAACGAATTAATTACCATTAGCTTTTTGCACTTATTCCACGGCAGCTTTTCTTTTTTCTTTTTCTTGCG